GGAGGTGTGCCGCCGAAGTCGCGGCGGCCATTTGGCTGATATTTTGTTCCATACATAATTGAACCATACCAATATATCATAATAAAAAGAAATGACAATAATTTCCTGAATAATTTGTGTTTTATTCAAAATCAACATCGGCCCTTCAAATTAAACCACCCTTTATATCACCTGACGAAGCTACTGTGATAGCGAAACATGTTGTGTGTATAAGAATTTATTGTTTGTGAAGATTTTACATTCGCCATGGATTTCCATCAAGTAACGGCCGAGTCAATTCAAAAAATAAATCAGGGAAGTTCACATAGATTCATCATTTTATTTTGGGAGAATTTGAAAGCATCGACTATTCCATGCTGAACTTTGTATCTTCAGCATTCAGGAAATGTCAGAGAGATTGGAATCGTAGTATTCTGTAGACTTTGGTTAGCTAGGCGAATATAAATATACAGATATGGAAAACAATTGCCGGCATATTGGAATCTCAATGCTTTTCAAAGTGAAATAATGGATGAACGATCAATCAAGTATTTAACAGGACTACTGTTCCTCTTCTTTGCAGCGCAGCCTACATTCATTCTGACTGAGCCTGCTAATGGCGGAGGCGGGAGACTGAGAGACGACGCGAGGCTACGACCTAAAGACAATTCAATGTTGAATGGTCTAGTTGGATACTTGGCTATTTGTAGATATATCTATTAAATTCAGCCGAGAAGTGATTTCAGGTTTATTTGAATATTATTGTGGTATTTTAGATATACGTTTGTAATCAGATCGAAATCGGTTGAGAAACTGACAAACAAGAGACAACTGAAAATTTACATTTTTTCCACCACCCCATTATTCATTGATATTCATCATGATAACACCAAATAATGTCTCCTTTTTTTCTCAGTTCGTGAAAATATAAGGTTGTTAGAGAGGTAACTCTAAACATTTTGCAGAATAACAAGAAGAAATGGATTGCTACCTACAACCGCGCACAAAAACATGGTGATATGTTGGTACCGAGGTTGGTAACCAACTGATGCTGCTCAAACAGTTGAAAGAGCAAATGAGTGATTGTTTTTTTAGATACGTTGCCACATTCCTACAGCTCTATGAAATTGGAACAATGTTTGTTATACAAGAAGATCATTTTTCTCTTGAAAGCAACTATCAAACTTTTCAAATGGAAAATGAAGGTTATTATTCACTTCATTCAACACCACTATCAAAATATTGATACCCAGATGATTCGAATATCACAGCTTAACAAATATAATTTTCCAAGAGTTACACATGATATACAGTATGATGAAAATGTATGGAATAAATTCATTTCAAAACAAGACGACTCCCGAAAAAAATCCAACTAGAGTTTAGAACTTTTTTTATTGTGTATTTTCTGAACTAGACGACCCTTCGATGTTCAATTCTCAGTAGCAGACCTCTGCAAGATTCAGTTAACCGAATGATAAACCATTTTAATTTCAATCTTATTATGCAAAATTTTGACTGTTGGATAGACGACGATCGGTAGACCTTTCAAACGAGGGGTCACGTGACCCCTGTTTGTATTTGAAAAAATCGTCCATTACGTTATTACTTCAACACCAGTGACGTAACATCTCTCATATAAATGTCATGAGATGAGGCTTCAAAAATTAAAACTCCCGTGTTTTTGGAATTTCTTCAAATGTCGCCCATTTCTGAAAAAATGAATTTATTCCATACATTTGCATCATACTGTATACGTAGTGCATTTAGTCGAATGTAGGATGTTTCTGATCGTAGAACGAAACCTATTTGAAGTTGAAATTTTCATGTCTTTTGGGATGCATATTCCAAATATTTCCTTAGAAGTCTGTTGAATATCATTTAAAAAAGTCATGGAAACCATCCATTCTCAAAGTGGTCCAGTATTTTTCAAAAGGAGAAAAACAATAACTCAAAGTCGGTCGACCACAAAATTTAATAAAACCTTCAATGTGTAACTAGTTTCGGCCACACGGCCATCTTCAGACACAAAAATTATAATGAAGTACCTGAAAAATTCGAACAGTTCTTAATCTAAATAATATGGCAGCTGGGAAAGAACATACCTCTATGGAGAAAACATCTTAAAATTTGTTTAAATAAAAGCACTGGTCAAGTTATCGTTACAAATCAATCCGGTAAAACTAAGTATCTTTGTAGCGGCTAAAAAGCCAAAAGAACTTCAAAATAAGTAAGTTCGGCATCAAGGAGAAGACACGTTTTTTAAAAATCTACTCAAAGAAGCTTCATCTGCTTCGAAGGCAAGCCATCAAAAGAAAGAACTATATAGTGGAGCAAAGATGGGAATGTGAAAATTGACATTTGACATAGAATTATTGACAATTTAAAGAATGAAATTGGGAAAAACAATATCAATTTAACATTCATATCGAAAAACAACCAACAACATTACAGAGAAAGCGTAATTCAAAAACCTAAATTATATAATGCACTAAAATTATTAATATTAGAAATTGATGATAGAGAGATGTGACCAATTTATTTCCTAGCATTCCTCCTGAAGAGTGTATTTCATTAGTTAGAGATTTACTGTTTGAAAACAACATTCCAACTCACCACACTTTGAATATTTGTGATTTATTAAATTTAGTACTTAACCAAAACTTTTTTCAATTTAATGAAAAATTTTATAGACAAACAACTGGACTGGCAATGGGTAGTAATCTTTCCCCTTTGTTGGCAGAAATTTTTATGAACAACTTGGAGAAACAATTTTTAAATAATTCTAATTTCAATTCAAATATAGTTTTTTATTATAGATATGTAGATGATTGCTTATTACTTTTTGAAGGTGACATTGGTATTGTTCTTAATTTTCTTAATTTCATCAACACCCTACACCCTAATATCACATTTACAATGGAATCAGAGGTCGATGATTCTTTACCATTTTTAGACCTACTTATATTGAAAAATCAGCACACTCATAGGTTCGAATTTGAAATTTTTAGGACACCAACAGCAACAGATACAGTTATCCCCTTTAATTCTAATCATCCTTATTCACATAAAATGGCTTCCTTTAATTGCTTTTTCCACAGAATTTTCTCTTTGCCTCTCTCACAAGCAGCTTTTGATAAAGAGATTAATATCATTAAACAGATTGCCCTAAATAATCTTTTTCCTCTTGAATTGATCATGAAGCTATATTTCAAATTTTACACTAAACATAGATTATCATTTAATGTCACTACCAGTCAAGTTGTTGATCCTCCCTTATACAAATCATTACACTATTTTGGTCATTATTCCATTCAATTAGCAAAAATGTTCAAACATTTTTCTTTTTCCATTTCCTACAAAACCTCTTCTAATTTGAAACATTTATTAGTCAATTCCAAAGATAAAATTCCCCTTGTCAAGAAATCTGGGGTGTACAGACTCAATTGCAATGATTGTAACTCATCATACATTGGTCAGACAGGTAGAAGTTTTGAGACTCGTGTCTCTGAACACAGCAGATTTATTCATAAATTTCTCAATTCTGGAAAATCTAGTACATCTTCCTTTGCCAATCACATAATTGATTCAAACCACAGTTTTAATGTTAATTCCAATATGGATATCATTCATGTTTGCGATAAAGGTCATCGGTTAAACCTTCTGGAGATTTTGGAGATACAAAAATGTATTAATAATCCGGATAGCATTTGTTTAAATGACCAGACTAACTTTAATCGGAATACCATTTTTCGCACTTTACATTTTTCATAATTTTGTAAAATTTGTTAATTACAGTTTTCCTTACGCTGGAGCCGACTCTGTCTCCACTTGCTTGACAGACTTGTTTTCGGCTTCTTCTCTGTTTACCATTAACAATTCTTCTTCCTTTTGTTATTGTATATTCAGGGCCCTTTCACTTATCTCTCTATCATCAATTTCTAATATTAATAATTTTATTGCATTATATAATTTAGGTTTTTGAATTACGCTTTCTCTGTAATGTTGTTGGTTGTTTTTCGATATGAATGTTAAATTGATATTGTTTTTCCCAATTTCATTATTCTTTGAATTGTCAATAATTCTATGTCAAATGTCAATTTTCACATTCCCATCTTTGCTCCACTATATAATTCTTTTCTTTTGATGGCTTGCCTTCGAAGCAGATGAAGCTCCTTTGAGTAGATTTTTGCAAAACGTGTCTTCTCCTTGATGCCGAACTTACTTATTTTGAAGTTCTTTTGGCTTTTTAGCCGCTACAAAGATACTTAGTTTTACCGGATTGATTTGTAACGATAACTTGACCAGTGCTTTTATTTAAAAAAATTTTAAGATGTTTTCTCCATAGAGGTATGTTCTTTCCCAGCTGCCATATTATTTAGATTAAGAACTGTTCGAATTTTTCAGGTACTTCATTATAATTTTTGTGTCTGAAGATGGCCGTGTGGCCGAAACTAGTTACACATTGAAGGTTTTATTAAATTTTGTGGTCGACCGACTCTGAGTTATTGTTTTTCTCCTTTTGAATATCATTTAACTATTTCGTTCAACTCTGATCATCAATAACTCAATGAGATTTCATTTGAATTCGTGCACTTTGTTCACATTTAAATATCTCAAATGAGGCTCTAGCTACATGATGGTAGACGGAACAGTTTCTAGAAACGATGTAAAATGACTTCGACGTTTATTTTCTATCGATTGGATAGAAATGTATCCACTATGAATTTCAAATCGAGATGAGAATGAGAATCATTTGAGTCAGAGAAATAAGTTGTTCACTTTGAGTTAGTAGAATAAATATATGATATCCGTATACACATATGATCTAATCATGTAGGTATACAGATCTGTTTTTTGAAAAACATTAAAACGAAAAGCATTAAAACAAGAATCCATACATGCTAGACAGTCGACTAAAGCCAGTATATTAGTACATAGGACAATTGTTGACAATTAATTGAAAGAACTACCTATCAATTAAACTCAGTGTTCACTATAATAGGTGGGTATATACTCACCTCATTATTTTGAAGAATTACTTTGTGCATTAATTGGTATCACAGTCATTTCAATTATCATTCAGATCGTTCACATGCAACAGGTAGTTCGAGTCAACAAACAGACAATACACTCTTCCTCTAGACTGGAGACTATAGACTGACCGTGAACCGAACCCGTCTCACTTGGGTTCTGTTATGGTTCTCTTCCACCTCCACTACCAGTGAGTACCAGTATAGCAGTACGACTATTCTATATACTTAGGTCCTTCTAACGATATAATTGCTCAGATGAGTGCGATATCGAGTTGAACAGATTTGATCATGAGTATACTCAAAACCTTCACTCTGTGATGTATGAACACAACAAACACGAGATAGCGGTCGAATCAATGGGTCATTGATTTATTCAATGTCCCATTGTATTTATTAATGGCTTATAAGCTCTTGGTGAGATTCATCAATTTTGGTTACGTATAATAACCATATTACGATTTATCTTAATTCACTCATTAATCAAGATGAAACTATTAATTTCATGAATATAACTGCAATTCTCTTTCGTGCGATCCAAGAGATACATAAATTAATAAATAAATAATCAATGAAACAGTACTGGTGAAACGATAGATCAATGATGGACTACAAGCCCAGAGGTCATTTTGGAAGGAGGAGTGAGTCATGTGACTCAGCATGAATCATATTCAGAATTATAGTACCATACGTCGTCCATACGATACAACTCCTTTAGACACTGTGCTGTCAGTTGCGAGCGGTGCATGTGAGTACAGAGTTGAATGAAACTTTTCATCGAGAGAGGGATATTGCGACAAGATATTCCTGAACGGCATTTCTGGAGTTGTCAAATCATTGAAAAATAATCAATTTGGACTAATATTCATTTTTCTGCAACGCTGTACAAATTGTACGGTACAGGAGCGAAATGCACCGCACGCAACTACCTATACCCATAACATTCGATACAAACCAAATCCAATGATCTCATTACTTTCCATGAAACAATGTAATTTTTTGTTGTCCCGTACATTTTCCATGAAACATGTATTAGGAAAACTAATTTCTTTCGGAAGAGGGTATTTAATTTTTCACGGCCTGAAAATATTTTTTCATCCAAACGGCATAGAAAGTGGCTCTTCTATGACACTTAACACGCAGCAAAAGTGTACTTTCTCTGCCTAGGCAGGAAAAGTTTGCTGCTTTGCAACGTTACAAGTAATGAGAATAAAATTGGTGATCAAAACACACATTGCATGGACACAAAATGGTAGAGTTTTCAATGTAACAATTACACAAAATCGGTTTTATAGCAATTAAAGAATAGTTATTCATACACCAAGGTAGTGAAGAATATCATTATTACCCAGGGACCAAGATTATTATATCTCGGGGCTCCAGCCGAGGGCTATAAGGTCCCGTGGTAATAATATGCTTTATACCAAGGTGTATTTTTTTTTTCACCACTATTGATACATTTCAGTCATTTTAGTTCTGTAAAATTGAAATATAAACCTATTATCACTATGAAAGTATTCCTCTTCAATTCTACTTCTCTCTTTGCAGTATATCTTGGATATAGGCGGACATAAAAGCTATAGCTAAGGCAGTTTAAAACATAGAAGGGGGATTTGAAGATGACAGGAAATCTGCATTGACTCTATTTGACTTAACAAAAGCCTTCGATTGCGTAAATCACGATTTTTTTTTAGAAAAATTGAACCTATACGGTGTAAGAGAGCCTTATCTCTTTTCGATTCATATCTCAAAGGTAGAAGACAGTCAGTGTGTTGCTTCAATGGTATCACGTCAGAAACAGTAGCAATGAAATATGGGGTACCGCAGGGCTCTGTTTATCATTTACGTAAACGACTTATTTTATCATTTAGTTGACTCAACCTGCATCATGTTTGCAGATGACACCACTATTTTCCACAGAAAAATAAACGAGGAAACAATGAATGAAGCTACTGAAATAAATGCTGAATGTTGGTTTGCAGCAAACAGTTTGAAACTCAACGCAAGTGAAACGAACCATATAACATTTTCTTCACAGGCAACAAGAACCAATGAACCAACAAAACTTTTAGGAATTTTTTAAGATCCCTCTCTGAATTGGTCGTTTCACATCGAGAAGTTCTGCTCAAAAACAGACATCTGAAAAATGTAATAAGTTCTGACACACTGATGAATATCTATTATGCCTTCATTCACTCGCATATTTCTTATGGGGTAATTTTATGGGGTAATGCACCTGACTCTATCAAAGTATTTAGGCTTCAAGAAAAAGCTATCCGAACTATTGCTAATGTTGCCTTCAGAGACCATTGTAGACCTTTATTCCAGAAATTCAAAGTCATGACACTACCTACTTTTTATATTTTCCACCAAATACTAGAAATTCATAATAGGAATAATGAACTGAGTAAAAATTCAAACTTTCATGAATATAACACTCGCGGTGCTGGGCATCTCAGACTACATAGATTTAGATTAAATAAATCTTCGAAAAATTCCCTAGATGTTTGCTCTCTATAATAAATCACCATCCAGCTGGGAGATTCTAGACACGCCTTGCTTCGAAAAAATATTAAAAAGATTTCTTTCAGAAAATGGGTTCTATTCAATTCAGGAGTATATTGACACACCTGTCAGCGATATGCGTACTAATACCTGAAATAGTTGAAGTATTAGTTTATAGGTATATATATAATAATTTCATTTCAATATCTACATATTATTTTATAACAATAATAATTTTTATTTTAATACACACGTAGTGGATTCATGTTGTACTTATACATATGTTATTGATTTTATGTGGAGTTAGGACCTATTACAGGACCTTACCAATGTTCATTTTCTTTGATGACCTGCTACAAACATATCTTGTATTTATACGTCGTTAAATAAAGTTATCTATCTATCTATCTATCATTTGGATATTCATTGGATGTCTAACTGATATACATGTATATCCACTGGATATTCTTACATAATTTCAACAGTAATCCAAAAATAGTTTTATCTCAAATCAAAACATTCAAAATGTTGTACAACGTGTTCGTTCAAAATGCCCCCTCCTGCTTCACAGCACATTCTGGATCGTCTAATTTTTGAAAACGATGTTCTGTGAAGATAGTAATTGGGTCGTCGTCTCTTTTATATGGATGCCGCTGTTGTCATGATATTTCTAATGAGCTCAACTCTGGTTTGTAATTTATCTGAATACACAATAAGACTTTTCAGGGGTCCCCAAAGATGATATAGTGATCAGGTGACCTCGGTTGCCAGAGAACTGGACCACCTCTTGCATTCCAATGGTGAGCAAAGTTGTCAGCCAGCTAACACAGATTGATCCCAGAGATATTAGAGGGCATCACATTCATGCCACACATCACATCCGTGACTCGAATTGAGAGTCCCACAGAAATCACAACGACTGCTATCCCGGACCCTTTTGATCAGTTCATGATGATTAATATTATGATGCCAGATGAAACTCGCAGTACGTATTAATGAATTCCTCAATCAACATCAAAATTGATTGATTCGGTCTGTTACATAATTAGACAAGGATGTGAGGTTTCTCTTTTCTTTTCGTTAGTGAGCCTCACAAATTCACCTATATTTTGAGTCTCAAATCCAAGAAAATTTGACACAGATTGACACCAGAGATATTAGAGGTCATCACATTCATGCCACATATCACACCCGTGACTCGAAATGAGAGTCTCACTCACAATGAATGCTATTATGGACCCTTTTGGTCATTCTATGATTCTACTTATTATGATGAAAAATCAAACTCACAGAACGTATTATGCGAATCCTCATCCAACATCAGAATTGATTTATCCGGTTTGTTACATAAATATACAACAATGTGAGGTTTCTGTGAGTCTCTTGGTTGTTAGGGAGTCTTACAAATTCACCTACATTTTGAGTATCAAATCTAGTAAAATGTGACGAATATTCGAATGTTCTCTAAAATGAAGTGTCACCTGGCAATACCAATGATGTTTTCTTGTGATTCGCATTGTTACCTATCGAGACATGAATGTGACATTCCAGGCATATATGATTGTGTTTAGTAGGCATTTAATTACTCATAACTCCTCGCAACTATTGAGTTTTAGACAAATATATATAGTGCACTTTCGACTAGGAATTGTTGAAGGGATATGTCCTCGAGCTATAGCGATCAAGTCACGGGACATACTGTCTATAGGTGTGAATATTTAGAACAGCTCGTTGTAGCAAGCACAGGGGCGATCGATGTGAATATCCCAAAGTGTGGCTTGAGGGAATTTTATGGGAATTTCTGCGTGGAATATCTCAAGACTTCACCGAGTTCATCCTATATGGGCGGCCGACATTTGGAGTAAAAGGCAACACATTTTTCTAGAATGAAATCTTCAAAACCCCTTCATGCTGCTTGAATTAGGGCACGAATGACAACACGATTCGGTTATCTTGCACGTCTTCGCTAGTCTCCGCTGGAATATCTGAACCGAATTGAAATTTAAATAATGTATACACCCAACTGTCTAATGGTAAGCTTCGCTCTCCGTGCCTGCGATGTTGAAGAATGGCATCCTTTCTCAATGTTATATTTATATTTCTGATATGTAACGGTTCGATGAACAATCTGTATGAAACGCTGTCATCAATGAAATAGAGTAATCACGTGCTAACCTTTATTACGTTATCAACGCCAAAGATTGGTACAGGTGATAGTATCCACCCTTTATACAAGACATATGTAAGTACCTATACCTAGGTACATTATTCAGAGATTCTGTACAACCTAAATATTTTTAACCTCATGATGCTACTTGGAAAGATTTATTCAAAATTCTTTCAATGAAAGACTTGCGCCTCATTGTGTCGTAGCTAATATACTTATTTTACGCCGGCAGGAGTAGAAGTTATACTTTCCCTAGGGAGATAATCTGACATATTTTCGAATCGAGTATAAGTTGCATCATACAGATTTCTAGATTCCACTGGTGGCAAGTTAAGAATCACTGCAGAAGCAGTATCAGCAATTTCTTTGGGGTCTCACTCGATTTTTGTTCCATAACCGTTAACCATTTTCAAAGCTGTTTTCACAAATTTCAGTTTCATATTTGCTGTCACCATGGGTTGTCAACAAGATGCATGATGTCAAGATACAAATTCCACAAACTAAACTACTACTGATTATGACAAAACACTTTGACCAAATTTTAATTTTTTCCAAATTTTTGTGTTTTCGCCAGCGTAAAAAGTAATATACACACCTCAGGACAGAATGCTATCTTTCCCTCGGTGCTTTGTATCTCTCGAGCTTCGCCCTCGACCTACAAATCGCACCTTGGAAGAAATCTGACATTTATGTCCCTTGATGTATAATGTACTGTTGTTTTTCACTTTCGTCCCTTAATAATACCTTGGCAACGGTTGCTATTAACATTCCCATAACTCCTGGGGCATTATGACGAGTATAATGATAAAGATGGAAAGCCCTAATTTCGAGTGACAATGGAAAATGAAAAAACTCCACCGCCCCGTGTGAGAGTCGAACTCACAACCTCTGGGTTACATGCCCAATGCTCTGCCAATTGAGCTAACGGGTCATCCGTCGATCAATCGGCAGGGAGGTCGAGTTCTCATCACACACCAGGCGGTAGAATCCTTGCAATTCCCGAAGTCACTCGAATGCTTCGTATAGTGCATGATTGTGAGTGACTTCGGGAATTGGAAGGATTCTACCGCCTGGTGTGTGATGAGAACTCGACCTCCCTCAATTCAATTCAATTCAAAATATACTTTATTGTCTTAAGTTCTCACTTGTTGACAAAGCTTGTTATACACATAATATACATAAAAAATGAATAAATGAACAATACTAGTTTTAAAATCACACACTTGCCGATTGATCGACGGATAACCCGTTAGCTCAATTGGCAGAGCATTGGGCATGTAACCCAGAGGTTGTGAGTTCGACTCTCACACGGGGCGGTGGAGTTTTTTCATTTTCCATTGTCACTCGAAGTTAGGGCTTTCCATCCTTATTCTCGACTGAGTAACCGACAAACATTACTTGACTCCTCCATTATGACGAGGGCAATATGAATCATACCGCTCGGGACATTCACTAAATCAAATGATGACAGCAATATTCAACAAAAATCAAAATATCAACAAAGTTCCTGTTTTCCATGAGAAGAAAAAATGAAAGAAAACGCTAGAAGCAAGGAACAGCTTTTTGAAATCGCTTCTTCATCATGATAAGATAATTTTTCCGTGAAAAATTAAATCTTGTATGCACCACCATAGGCCCTCGGGTGAATGTTACCCTCCGAATATCGTATATTTATAATGAACTCACAATAATGTATAAAGTCGTATATTATCGCCGATTCCATTTTCCCCTGGACTGGCTCTGTTATCCGAAGAATATATGTAACCCGAGAATCAGTCACTGAAATTCTAGGACAGGTAGTTACATACTGTAAGCCAATAAAACATCATATAAGTTATAATAAACATTTTAATGAATTATATAAATAGTTCCTTGGAGAATGAGAAGCTAGCTAGACATATACATGCAGAATTCTGTACAAATTTACATAAACATGGAAGTAAATATGTATGAGATTATAATTTCTTTATATGATATGGATAACATTTGATAGGTATCTATATTGCCATAAAACGTTTAATTTTTTGTGACAGCTTGGCAAATCTTCAAAGAGTCAGTTGAAAGTGAACGGCAGTATCATCTTGGTCACAACTCATTACAGTTTAGAATATCTACGACATATGTCGGCCAACAATGCCTTCTCTGTAATGGACTGAATAGTTATATGGTGTATAAGACATTTGTGGAATATAAAGTTCATGTAAATTGTGCTAGATACTAAATTATAATTAGAAAACAACAATTCAATAGATATACAACTCCTTATTGTCTGTGTTGACATCAAACAAAAAATAATAAATATTTGGTCCAAAACTAAATTTATTTACAAGAAAAAAACTAAAGAAAAAGAATATTCGCAAGAAGTATATGTATATGGTTATTATACAGCCTCTCCTAAGCACTTCCGAACACAAATAAATATTATTTCTGTACAAATGAACGTGTGTTCAGTAATAAGGAAAAAGGCATAACTTTGACTGAGTGTTGAACACTTTACTGGTAATCATACATTTCAGGTAATTCCTCTTATTTAACCTAATAATAAGAAAAATAACATGTCTAAATATGAAAAATGTATGTGATGATGTTTATGCTTAATAATACAATAAAAAATGTACCTTACATAAAATACCTAATGTGTCTGGATGAGTATTTGGAAATTCATGAAAGGCATCCATTCAAATGACAGTCTTATTATTGAAATCAGTTCTGGATGACAAAGTATTGCTCCTATCAATTAAATTGAAAATGAAGATGAAGAATTAAATGATAAACTCACTTTGGTGAAAATTCCTCTCAGTTGGCTACTTAGAAGTGATGTGTCTGTTAACATTTTCAGATAACACTATTTTCAATTTTGTTATGAAATGAGTAGGTATCTAATCCATCGTTATTATTTGTGATAATGAATATCATGGCACTTTAGTTTTGTATATGGATACTTTATACAAATTGGAAATTGAACAACCTGTCACACAAAATGTATAAAAGTCTGCAGGTGATCATAACATCAAAATACAATGAAAGTTAATATAAATGTTTTCATTTAGCTCACTGCTGAATACACAATGATAATGATTATAAAAACGAAGTGAAATATAGTTTCAGCACACTATACTTACTGAATACAGACTTATAATGAGAATACTATATTTGTTCAAATAATGATAAAATACTAAAATCCCAAAAATTTCCAAAATTGAGATTTGAGTTGGCAAGAAATTCACCAGAAGTGACAGTGGTGCAATAATTCATTTAATAACTATTCGTTTTTTTTATACACGGTAAGGAATCCTATTCAGTGAAGCTTTTCGTCAAAATGAAAATGCATATAATTAGTTTTATCAATCACTCAAAATTCGTTAAATTTCAATCAGAATTGTGTGAATTATTTCTGGAATATATCTCATACTTCTGAGACATTTTATGTCAGTATAATTCAATGGGTAGATATAGAATAGTTTCACAATCCGATGTGGACCGGGATTGACATAACATCAACTCAAAATTTACTAATAATTTTTATGTTGAAGATGTGATGCACAACAATAATGGATGAAAGAGGAAATCTAAATATATAATATGGATTTTCTTAGTCGTTTCATGAATTTCCGTTACGATTTGAAGGAGTTTTTAGCACCATACAGTACTGGTATCACACCCATTTCATTCCTTATTTATCTAATGTACATACGTCAATTGTTTGTTATTCTCTTAATCTGGCAGTAGCCTTAGCTGGTTGTCAATTCTTGGCACATCAAATACTAAAAACAAAGGCACACTGTGTACGTGAACACGTACGTTCTCATTCATACATACAGGGTGTTATTTTTCAGTAGAATATCAACGAAATATCAGTTCTTCATTATATTCCGTTTTTCAGACTTATTTAGACTAAAGAGAATTGATTTCACCACCCCGTATATAGTCAACTGTAATCTGATTACATTCTGCAGATTTACTTACATACCCGATCAGAACGTTTCTTCGAATACAGAAACCGAATGGAATGAATGATACATATCTATATAACATAAAATTACGGAAGTAACGAAAGTAGTTACAATTAAAGCACAGCCTGTTTATTTTTTCTTCGTAGTCATACAACTGTTTTTATAGTGAATAATTAATTGGTTCATCAAATCAAATATCACCATCAGATATACTGACTGATATATCTTATTGAAGTAGCAGGAAAACTCACAGTCATCTCCACAATTCTTTAATGAAAATTTTGATCGATTTCAGGACATGTTTCGAACCTATATATGTTCATCTTCAGCTAAATGCAAAAATTATGGGGATGGATGGATTTTGGAGTTTGCCTTCTTCAAATCCATCCTTCTGAGCGGCCCTTGAGCCCAATTAGTTAATAAGATATAATTTTGTTCTCAATAATTCAATCTCAATGATTTAATTATTGATGTAAAAATTGTTATCTACTCAGTGCATTCAGAGTACGCGTTTGCTCCCTCATTTAAGTTCCGAAACCTGTCAATTCACTATCACGGGAGAAAAAAAAGCCTCCCATGGCAGGTGAAATACATTGGTTTCAGCTGTTTCTCTGAGTAGAGATATACGTATAAGATACGATACCCGAGTACCCAATCATTGTCTCAAATATCAAATAACAATGTATTTTTTTCATTCCAATGATCCCATATACACTTCCTTATATCCCAAACTTACTCAATCGACACTTTGAAATACAATTACACAATAAACAAATTCGATATGAGTGAATTTTCAAATTGATTTTCGTGCAGATTCAAATACTGTCAATTGTTCATGGCATGCTACACTTTTATAACACATTGATTTGGATCGAGACTCGAGAGATAGACCGCCTGAAGGACAATTTTGAACCACGCCCTCAAATATATGCGTTCGTGAAAGAAAATACCTTTGCTCCCTCGATATATAAATAGCTAGTTCTTCTCCATAATGTTTGCATTCAGCTGAAGATGAGCCGATATAGGTTCTAAATATGCCCCTAGTGTTTCTACTACTTCATCCATTTACTCCACTCTGAGATACCATGGACTCCAACTATAGATTATATCTTATTATTCCATAAATGTTAACAAAGGAACCTAACATGGGAAGATATTTGAGAACAAGATAACGTGCTTCCGAGATATATTCTCTAAATCACAGTATAAATATGAACCGTTGAAATATTTTGAAGTATTTCTGGATATTTGATATAAAATGGACAAAATTTCACCTATATGATTATAACATTCACTATAAAATGTGCTAGACTTTTGATTTATGTCAATACGACTTTAATATCTATCGTACTTATCACAATTTGTAGATACGCGAAGTTCATTCAGGGTTACTTGGGAGCCTTGAAGAACCTGAGTACTATGTAGCCCAACACGCGAAAGACCAGTAGGAACGCCAATAGTACTAGGGTGTTGGCCCATAAAGGGAGGTAAGATCCTTGGGCTTCTAATATCGACGACATTGGTATATGGTTCAAATCAGAGGTGCAAAGTTTAAACTTTGATTGTGAAGCACACCTGAAAATAAAAGGAATGATAATACCATACTTGCGAAAGGCGAACGAAAATAACACTTTAATATTAAATAAAAATTTTGATTGTCAGTAACCTACAGAATAAAATAGCAGGTCTAACGCATGGGTATGTTATTGGGTAATTGATGGCATGTAATCAGTTAGAAACGCCTAATTTCACCTATAACTGATGAGTCTAAGTGACCGTAGCGAGTTTCATATTGTGAGGTTGAAAACAATATGTTTTGAATTTTGATAATAAGTTTTTCTTATTTTATAACGAGAAAGTTGAAATAAAATATATTTTATTGAAAATGTTGTCCAACATCGAGCATATCAGTTTTCTTTCTCTAGTAGAATATCGAATCTGAACGTTAAATCAACATTGGAATAAATTTGTTTGAATATCATTATGTATTTTGATTAACATTTCGAAAGTTGAAATAGTGCCCAGTCAACACAAACATCTGTGAGTGTTGCATTCATAACAGTTGATGTCACAAAAACGAATCACCATATCACATCGCTGATATCTATAAAAGGAATTTCTTGTGTGACAGATAGTTCGCAATTTTCATAACATCCTGTTGGATTTGACACCAATTTGGATATAATATTGATGATTCTCCCTATCTTATTAAAGATTATAATTTCAGAATCTGAAATTTCAGTAGTTGAGAGTCATAACTTGAAGTATCTAAATTGAAAAACTGCTTCACATCTTGCAGAATTAAAAAAATAACTGTCAATTTGTGACTCTCCATTTTTCAAAAAATTTCAAAGTAACGATACATAGTTCATCATGAAGACAAAACACAAGAGATGAAACACGGTAGTGGCAAGAAAAACGTTTCAGTATAGTTGTAAACTGAAACGTTCGAATTGCACATGAAATATTGTTATACTTGAGAATAACTTCAGCAAACATCTTCTTCATGTTCTTTGCCCAGTGGGCTGCAGTCTTATTTTGGAAAGTATTCATAATCGTGACCCCTTTTCACATTGTGAAAGTTTCTTTTATCAATAATAAAGAGAAAATACACATTCAACACCCTATAGCTCGAAAGTTAAGAGGTTTAGGGTATATACTCATTGAACTTTTCTTCTCAAAATGAGATAAAAAACTATTGGATATCCTATATTTTTAGCCATCAATTGAATTACTCTGTGTATATTCATTTCCTTCTGAAACCAAAACTTATATTGATAACTATCCATTAAGAAAACGGTTATAATTATGTTCAGCTTGAAATGATGTCCATCCATTAGGCAATGTACAGAATTGTCTACTAGCATTATTATTATAATAAAAAAATCAAAATTGTAGGAATAAAAACTGATTTGACGATCTTAATCAACTGCGCCTTATTATATTGGTAAGTTCATGAGGCATATTCGAAAAAATGATTTGAAATTTGTTTGAGGGTCAGAGACCCAATCAGGACATCTGATAATAGGCGAGTGGACTGGTAGTGAATAATGATTGGCAAATTACTTCACAGTATCGTTAGGGACTTGCATCAATTTTTGCAACAGTTCTTATGCGCTTTCCATGTAAATAATGTGTCTATGCGTTCTTCGAAGTTGTTGAATTCCAGAGCTCATTTCAAAAGTGCCGTCATCGCCGTCATTTTTGGCCATGTTCTGGGATACGTCAGATATATGGTGAAGTCAGTTATCCTCATGCAGTTTCAGTATTGCCCAGATGATTTCCCATTCCCTCTCATGAGGCAAGGTTATCAAGTCACCAATATAATCAATTGGTTAAAAAGTTGTCGGAGCACTATCCAAATTAAATATTTCATTCGAGACTTGGCAATGCTCTGCTTGACGCTGAGAAATGACAAGACAACGCCCACAATCCTGTGTTGTCACGTTTACCTCACCAATTAGTATGATTATTATTAATACTAGTTCATATGCAATAAGACACGACATATAAGAGAGAAAATCATTAGACAATGGATTTTTTTATAGCTAATCAAGAATATTTCCAATACATTGATAAGAATTTTTGAATTATTGATTGAATAATATTTCTGAAGTTCCCATTCGTATTTCAACTTGTGGCAACTGTGCTAATTTCTGCCCCTACTCAAGAAATCTTGACGGCAGTTTTTATTTGCGATAAGTTTCTAGCCATTTGAAAATTACCGTGGCAATATTGATGATTTGAACACCTCAAAATCGATCGAAAAAATCTACAAAAATATGGAATTGAGAGGTAATAATTTAGTCATGATTCAATTTAAGAAATAAAAGAAATAGTCCACTCGTCTGAGCAATTGTTCATGAAACCAGTATACCTCTCAATATAATTCCTTAAAACTCATGAGTACCTTATTAAGTACCTATGACATTTTCAAGAAGGGTTTATATGTGAAATAGAATCCATGAGGTTTTCCAGCATCATTGAATCTCTGGCCACCTTTTCTGGGTTTACATCATGTTCCATTTTTTGGACCTATTATCTGGACAGTATCAAATATATTGTCTTTCTAGCGACGGCATTCGAACAGTGGCCATTTCTAGTGTAATTATGAAAATGATTTATATTTCTAGAGCATTCGACGATGCCTGATTTCCACGAATTTCACCTTTCAATAATATTATGAGCGGCCAGAGATTCGATGTTATTTAAGTAATTTCGTTTAATATAAAAATAAAAATAAAATAACTTACTGAATTCCATCAGTGAATTCGACAATTTGCATATTTTGATATGCATAGTGTATCATTGAAAGGTATTTCATCCACGTCAACCATGCAGGTATGTTCGTCGCCAAATATCCACCAAATAGTTGCGTTGCCAATGTGTAGAGGGCACTGATGGTTATGCTGACCTGCATATCCATACAGCAAGCTCCAATGAAAAAGCCTACACTCTGTGCCACGATCGTGTTGAGCAGAAGAAATCCCAGAAGAGTGAGAAAAACCATTGGTGAATGGAAACCTGTAATCGAGAATTACCTATCGTTGAAATATACGAACAAGTAGATACCGTCAAACGGGGTCAAGTGAATAAAATCGTTTGTTCGAGAAGTATTACGACAAACAATATACAACCCTTCTCAAATGGTTCTGGAAGTAATTTTGAAAAATTAAGGAAAAGGCCTTAATTTTTTTTTTTTGGAAAATCTGATTCACTTTACCCACCACTTTGGGGTAAAATGAATCAGACATTGAAAACGCGTGAAAACTCATTTTTTCCACCATTAGCTATTGAATCTACCATTATTTACTCCTTTTCGAGGCGTAAAGTTTGTTTCTACTACCAAGGTAGTTTTTGTCATTTTATGATCCACTAGTCAATAAAGACATAGCTACTTCTGTTGTAATTAGCCCGGATGCACTGTTCTGATCAGAGATTCACAGGAATGGCATCGAATCTATTTATTTATTTATTTTTCAATAACGACTTGTCATATGCTGTCATGGTCATGGCTAATTATTGAAAATAGTTCTTTCATAGTGACATAATTATTTCGGTTTCACAGAACTAAAATGATTGAAATATATTGCTAGTGGTGGAAAAAATGTAATATACACCTTGGTAGTAAAGAATATCATTACCACGGGACCTCATACCACTCGGCTGAAGCCTTGGGATATAATCTTAGTCCCTGGGTAATAATGATATTCTTTACTACCTTGGTGTATAAATAACTATCAAAATACTTAGAGGTGAAGTGAATATATGAAAATATTGTCTACATTATTTTATGTGACTGCTTTCTCATAATATATTATATTATCGGCATCCTAAGATTGAATCAAATTATTGGAAATTGATAAATAATTCATAGTATAGCAAGATATGAAATAAAAAATATCAAATTCATTTTACCCATTGTAGTGAACACTTCGGAGTAAAAAAGAATGCTGGAATTCAACTAAAAACATATGGGCAAAAATGCTATCAAATATTTCTCAGTAATAACTATCAAACACATTTGGAGCATGTGAGTAAATTAAATCATGAAGTTAGTGTCTTCACTTTCCTAAACGTACTGGCGAGACGACAGGGGCGCAAATACGTTTCAATTTTGCAGCTGAAGCGAAAAGAGCAATTTTTCGTACTGAAACACCCGACTGATTCATTTTATCCATCACTATGGTTAACTCAACCATGTTTAACGGTACTTATATTTTTAAATGGACGTGAAGTTCAATTTTTCGTGTACTGTTTGTATAGTCATGCACCGTCAATAAAAAAACGACACTCAAAATACCAATACAGAAACCCAATTCACATGCACATACACGTGACCAACCAATCACGTTTTTCAGCAATAAAATTTTTGACGTCCATAGTGTCAATTATAGTTATAGTATATTCAATTCAGGTAACACGAATTTCTGTATAAGTGTGCAATTCAATGATGAAATAATCATACGACTGGATAGTTCTGATAAAAATTTTATTTGCGGAATTAATACCTAGGCAACAAGTTGTCGTAACATCCGCCTAACATTTTCGGCAAAATAGTATCAATTAAAGTGATATGACATATATGTATTGATTATTCTTATATGAAGATTTCATTCGTCTTCTTGTGAGTTTCTAGGGTAGGTAGAAATCTTCTGCTCTGCCTCTCGTTAGTATCGTTAAGGGAGTTGATAAATAGTTATTTATTATACAAGGGAGAAAAGTAGTAGATTTTTTGTCTACGCGTCGGGAGACAACCACAACCTCGAACTAAAATCTAATATATTTCCCATGTATGATACACTGTGACAGAAGAAAGGACGAATCAATATTGAGAAGATATTACATTATTTTGAAATCTGAAAATTATCGAAGTGAAATTTTAAGATTAAGTAGGGACTCCTGCGTTGTAGGCATCTTTATCATTCTTTTGAAGTAATCAAATATCTGATGTCACTTCTGTCAGTCTAATTCTGTGATTTGATTTTGAAAAAATTGCGAATTTAGTGGTTGTTTAGTAATATACGTAACCGCGAAGTCGAATGGAAGATGAAAGGACTTGCAGTTCTTTTTCGGAGACGGTATTATTGTCTCATTTTTCGGAAATATAGCACAACAAAAGCCATCAATAGTGTAAAAGTAACATTTTATAACCTGCCAACAGAGATGAAATGCCAAACTTTTTTCCCGCCAGAGAAAAAAATAAATAATTCTCACAGGGAGGAAAAAATTTGCTACTAGAGTTTTTGCTGAGATATTTCTTGCTACCATTACAAGAATAGTTATTTATTATACAAGGGAAAGAAGTTGTAGATTTTAGCTCCAGGTTGTGTTGTCTCCCGACGCGTAGCAGAGGGAGACAAAAAACCGTGAGCTAAAATCTAATATTTTTCCCGTGTATAATACACTATTTTTTTCTGTGACAGAAGAAAGGACGAATCAATATTGAGGAAATGTTACATTATTTTGAAATCTGAAAATTATCGACGTGAAATTTTAAGTTTTTAACAGTAGGGACACCTGCGTTCTATAGGCATCTTTATCATTCTTTTGAAGTAATCAAATATTTGATGTCGCTTCTGTCAGTCTCATTCTGTGATTTGATTTCAAAAAATTGCGAATTTAGTGGTTTAGTTATATACGTAACCGCGAAGTCGAATCGAAGATAAGGACTTGCAGTTCTTTCTCGGAGACGGTATTATTGATTCATTTTTCGGAACTATAGCACAACAAAAGCCATCAACAGTGTATATATATGTGATATATATCCGGGAAAAAAGTACTCACTTTTTGCCCACGGGAAAAAAGTAATTTATGAAAAGTGGCATTTTATAACCTGCCAACAGAGATGAAATGCCAAACTTTTTTCCCGTCACAGAAAAAATCCTATTATCGTTACACATTTTCGAATTGTAGGAGCACTTTGAAATCTTATGATAGCAATACGATTTTGCAGAAAATGAATTTTCTGCCACAGAGAGGTATGCTGCTGTCGCTATCAGGCATATGCTTGTATATCTGCGGGGTTCGCCCCATAGAACTGCACTCACGACCAATAATACAACTGTCAACCTGCCACGAAAATTTAAATAGAAGAACCTACTTGGGGTTATTCAAGAGTTTCCAGAAAATATTTCTTCCATTTATTACTCAAAAAAACGTTTGTTTTTCCTGAGGGTGATTCAATTGATATACAGGGTGTTTCAAAAAAACCTGACCCCCTTGCTAGGGTAGGTAGAACACTGCAAAATAAGTTGGGTTTGCTCAGTGGAAAAATGTCGTAACGGCATCCGTTTTCATGATACAAGGTGTTGAAAAAATGATTTTTTTACACATTTTTCACTATTATGTCGAAACTACTGGCAACATTGTAATGCAATTTTATATGGATGTTTCTTGGAACCTGACACATCGCATGCATTTGTTTTCATATCTAATTCTCATAGAGGGCGCTAGTTACACGGTTCGTACCGAGTAGTTTAGAACATAACTTTTTTGAGGTTAGATTTTTCGATCCAAATTTGATGTGAACTTCAACATCAGTCAATTTTACACCAAAATGTACTTCTGGTGAAACTCGATACCATGCTCCGTTTTCGGAATATTTTGATTTGAAAATAATGGAGTAATAACTGATGCTGGTATAAAATTAATTTTATTGAGTTCAATTTCATATTTATTCAGACTCAAAAACAATGAAATCATCCTTGTGCTGGAGTTATTGATGGAACGAAGAAACATAAGTAGAAAATCAAGAGATATTTGACTAGAAACATGAAATATTGAATCAGAGTAAATTTTGATAATGTCCTACGTTTCGACAAATACACGATTCAATATTCATTTCTTCAGAAAGTATTATTCTTCTTAACAGTTGAGGATCAGCTGTTAGGTCATTTAAGAGATGTTCAATTAAGTCTTACAACTCTTGGCGTGAATTTATCTATGCAGCATAGACATTCAAAAGAATTGCAACTTCCTCTTTCGACTGAACGTCAAAATTCTTCGTCATGTACTCCAACTTCAATTCACAAGTAGAATAATCACTAACTCAATCTGAACTTACCTAACATAGGGTAGGAAATAAGATGATAAACAGCAGGCAGAGACATAGTTAAGGGCAGCTCTCCTATCATCTTTGCCAAATAATAGGCAGACAGTCTGTAAGCTCCTGATTGTCTTTCTTTATTAATCACCTCTCGCTCTGGAGGAACTGAAATTCAAATAATAGTTTTTTTCAGGGCAAAAAAAAACTACTGTCTAATGAAGAACAGTAACAGTATGAACGATGAGAAAATTCAACCAATCGTTTCATTATAGATATATTATTTGCTGATGTGCACAACAGATTCAGGAGAAAAATGTACCAATATTAGGTTGAATTAATACAAGAAATAATCATATTTTTTTCGATGAATTATAGAAAACAACGAATGGTTCAAGAACTGGAAGTACATGCCATCATGAGCTATACTGTTCCATATGATATCGACATAAACTAAAACCTAAATTGATTACTCACATGAACTAAGCGCTCCAAAATGAGCAAACAACATCCAGTATGTAGTAGAAAAAAACATCCAGCCCTGTATGTCATGCAAAGCTTCCTCTTTCCTATCCAATTGAAACCACAGCAGGCCTGCCAAAATTCCTAGTCCTATCGTTTGTACCCAATTAAGTTTAGACAACATTCTCGGTCTCGCTTCCTGGAAGTTTCTCTGAGAAAGCACTTTGAACTGTGTCCAGAAGCTGGTTGGCCATGAGAAATAACAATCTGCGTCACTAGTTTCAGAGCTCACTGAAGATGATGCATGCGAGTGAGTGTCCAGCCAGAGACGTCGGACATCGGGTTCCATGGCGTTCAGAGTATCTTCTGAAAATCAAGAAGTTTATGATGGTGTTTCCGAATTCGATAACATTTTTATTCATCACATTTTTGATATTGCTGTCACGAAAATATACAGGTAACATGGTGGCCATTTATGATAAATCAATACTGGTTAGAGATGCCATTTGATTAATAACGGACGTTGAAATGATCTCATTCAATATAATGTATTTTTGACGTGATTCAAACAACCGTCAATTCTCTTTTTGAAGCACGAGGTCTGAATTGTGTCATCTTGTCGACATGACTATCATTGACGACTTTGAGTTTACCAGTATATGAAATACCCGTTGTTTCCATCAAGTTTCTCAATTCTATTCTACCGAATTTTAGTTCGTTCGTTTATCAACTACTTTCGGTTCGCTCACATCTATCCGATACTCGCTTGATGATTTCAATTATTATTAATACGAGTGCTCAATATATTTAGATGGGGATGAGTACTGATGATGGTATAGTGCAACGAGATTGAACGGTCGAGTGACACCACCTTCAAAGTCATGCACATGGCAGGGCATAATGACTAAATCAACTCTTGAACGGTGTTCATGGTATCAATGATATTCGGACAACTAAATTAATTCATACTAATGCCTCTTTCTATATATAAACGGCTGTTCAGCGATTATGTTTTATACAGAATGGGACAATTTTTTTCCGTTTAATGGAGGGATATTTGACAGAGGTGACAAATCTGACATTCTGCTTCCACTGCTCGATACTTTCTACTTCAAAAATAGTATACCTTATCTCAATCGATATTTTGTACCGTTCTAGAGAAAATCGCATTTGAAGAACATATACATCCCAACCGTTTCAAAGTCGATAGAAACTCTATTCAATAACACCATGGTATTTGGTAATTTTTTTCAAGAGTTTTTATCACTTTGGATGAGTTTACTAATAATGAGTATGCATATATGTAGGGACTTGCAGGAACTTTCAAGGTCGATAACTAGGTAACGAAGTGCGGTAGACACTTTTTTATTTGGAGTACTAACATTATATTGGCCACACTCTATCAGCCCTATCATTTGCGACATGACCTTTCCGGACACCCTGCATATATCCTAGCATTTCTTATTTCATTTTTACTTGTGAAAGGTGAAGGGAATCATAGAATCTCTAATGTCCCAAGGGTCAAGCATAACTATGACGATATGTGCCTATAATATCCCGGTCAGAAATTACACAATTTTCTATTTCATATAATGCATATGGTTTTCATCATCTAGGCGATTGCTTCATGTTGGTAGTTGGATCTTTCAAAATTGAAATCGAATTCAAAAATGTATAGAATGAAGTTGTCAATTTTCATCTCTTTTTCAACTCCAAGTGAAACGGACCATGCACAATGTAAATTACTAATCTAAAAGAAATTGAGTATAATGAATAGGTGATACTCACGTTCTATATTGGAATACGGATTATGTGGTAGTATCTTATTCGAGTGGTCATATTTGTCACTAATATAGTGACAATCATGTTGTAATTCTATGGGGTAATCCTTATTTCTTCGGGATTCTTTCGCCGCATTTATGATCCTTTGTTGTAGATCAGAAGATCCTTTCACTTGTTCCACTGAAAACAAAAACATTCTAATAATTAACGTTTTCATTCTTCGTGAAACGAACGGTAACAAAATACAAAATAGAAAGTTTGAAGCCGTTTTTTTAAATGATGAAGTTGATGATACTATCAAAGACGAAATGTTGAATATGAAATGTGACTCCGTCTTATAGAGGTGCGAAAGTAGCAGGAATAAATTGAAATCTATTTTGAAATGTTCCCTCAAGTATAGGCTAACGAAATTTCCGTCCTGTTTTTGGAAATTGCCAAATTACAAGGCTGAATTTTATCGATCACCAACTGTTCCACAATTTTGAACGATGACCCTATATCTTTATATCATTTTCGAAATGTGTCGTGAGTTTGCTGAACTTACGAATGAAATCGGCAGGATTATAATGCGGCATGATGTTCAGTCCTATGCTGCTGAAGAAATCCACTACTTTACACGTATCCCCGTAGTAGGCAGTCTGACCATTACATAGGAGTAGCAGCTTATCACAGAGGTGGAATATTTGAGATGAGGGTTGGTGAAGAGTAAGCACGACAGTTTTGCCTTCTGATACCGCGTACCGCTTCAGGGTAGTCATCAGACTGTGAGCTGCGTGAGAATCCAGACCAGACGTAGGCTCCTAGAAATAAAATTTCGAATAATTCATCAAAAAATATGATTTCATCTGCTGAATATGTACATACACCCAGGTAACACATTGGCCTTGGTATGGGCTGAATCGAGGGGTAAGTACATGGGGCAATCCGGTGTACAACTTAGGGGTATTGCGGGGCAATGCGAGGCAGTGTCGGGCATTGCGGGGCAATGCGAGGCATTGTCGGGCACTGCAGGGTATTGATGGGCATTGCAAGGTATTGTGAGGCATTGTTAGGCAATGCGGGGTATTGAAATAGCACTGAAAGGGCAATGTGGAGCAATGTTTGGTCTTAATTTGTTGCGCGCGCATCCGTTTCTGTTCGAGGTCACTATATTCAGTAATTCAGTTCTGTGGTTCGAGGTGATGCCTTACATTTTGACCGCACCATTCAAGCGTTTCGCATCGCGTCATGCTGTCATCAACTCCGGCTACAGCTAGCTTTGGATTGGATTGGAATTGGATTTAGCCGACTATTCGAGTAAACACAACGATATAGATGAGAAAAGTCCATATGTGGAAGTCACTTTGGAAAATTATAACATGATTTTGATAAAAAAAATCATCATTATGCTGACTTCTGAACGAGGGGTAGGGACGAATCAGTAACGATCGCATACAGCGTTTCAATGCTATATCCTAGATCTGTCCAAAGAAGAAAGTCGAAAATACCTGCTCTCAATTCAAAAAGTGAGAAAAAGAAAACTGAATGTATCGCAGATTCTTCAGAAGAAAAAAATGAACCAGATATCGTCTCAGACGATTCCACAGATGTGGAGTCATTCTACTCTTTGGGAGAAGATCGAGAAGAAGATAGGATGATGAAGAAACTTGACGTTTTCGATCCTGAAGTAAATAAAAAGATATTTTCTATGCAGTGGTATTTGATAAAAACTGGTATCTGGGACTGGTAATGAGAAAGAACCAAGACAGATTTGGAATAAGGTTTTTAGAAAATATTTCAACAAGTGGCCAGAAAAATCAGAAATTATAAATTCAATACCAAATGATGGATTTTTTTACGGACCACTTGTACTTGTGGAAAATTCTCCATTTCTCCTGAAAAAAGCGGATAAAGTGAACATTTCTAATCTTTATTTGGAGTCGATGAAAAATTTCGAATTTTAGAAAAATACTCAAGTTGACTGATGTGATATCCACTGTGATATGCATTAACAAAATATATATTCGGGTTCAAGTTGTTTTTGGTTCAAGAAAATCTTAACTTTGTTCAAGTTTCAAAAAAGAATTCAGAGTTTGCGTTTCCTTAATGACTATAAACTTGAAAAAATGTTTTATTCTAGTCGAGAATTTAGTACTGTTACCTATAATATCTGGACTTATATGCCCAGTGTTCCTGTTACCAAACTATGATCTCTGAATTATTGTGATACTGTCTAAAGAAGTACCTTTAGGACCACTCAGTTATCAAGTATAGGAGAAAAAAATGTTCGTTCTAAGTTGTTTTTGTGAAAAGGCGTGTGTTTATATTATGTTTGTTTCATGTTCGACTGCTTGTTATGTATGGTTTCTTTATAAAATAGTTATAATTATTCATTTTTCCTCGTCCCATCAGATGATTAATTCACTAAGAGATCAAAATGAATTTGAACTATGTAGAAGACATTAGTCAGTTTTCACATTTCAATATAGTCTGTCTCTCTTCAACACATGGAATGAAAAGAGATAGTTATATAGTGCACTAGGGGCATTGTTGGGCATTGGGAGGCATTGTTGGGCATTGCGGGGGCAATGTTGGGCATTGAAGGGTAATGTTGGGCAATGCGGGGTATTGTTGAGTGAAAAATGGGCATTGCAGGGTAATTTCGGTGAATTGAGGCATTCATTACCCCCTGGTGTACAAAAAATGGCTATGTACTTACCCCTCGGGCTGAATCGTTACCACCGATACAACAAGGCCAGCAGACGCTGATGAAAACAGCTCGTGACGTCGCCAAGAGAGGCCAGTGTTTTATTTTATCGCTTGTCGACTAACGCGTCAGTTCGTGTTAATTCATCGGTGATTCACGTATGTTTTTGAAACGGTCCCGAATTCTTTTGTTGTTTATTCATCAAAATAATTGGCGGAAAAATAACTGTTTTGTGAAATATTTTGTGTTGTGATCGGCGAAATAACAATGCCTTTCCAGTGTTGTGTTCCCTCTTGTCGGGGAAATTATGTGGGTGGTTCAAAAGTTCATGCTTTTAGTTTCCCGTTGGACGAGGAGCTATCGAAAATGTGGGTAATTCACTGCGAGGATTTTACTCCATCTAAGTTCAGTAGTAAACAGAGCTTAATTTATAATGATGAATTAATAATAGAAGACAATTACTCTCTCATAAAAAGTATAAGTAGAGGAAAAATAGAAAAGCTTTGATTGTGCAGTTAGTTTTGTATTCGTATATTATAGTCAACAAAATCATCTCTGAATTCGAGGAAATTATCTTGAATGTTCATGATAAACGGGCATTTTCAATTCTCATTCTCAAATTTCTTTGTGAAAACGGTCATTTGCCTCGTGGCAATGAATGCAGAATTCATTCCAATGATCAAATTGCAACTATCATATTAACACGAACTACAAACACTCTACTTAAAAAGGTAAAACTGCATTTATCATGATATTCATCATGAAGATATTTGACTAAAAAGTTCCAAATTTCACCTTCTTTTTCACCTGTCTTCTGGATGGCATTTAGAACAAATTTCCCTTCTTTTTTCATCATATTGGACAATTTATATATAATTCAACTATAAATATGATTTTCTTGAGTTTAATCCATATTTAGTGAAAAGAATGAAGAATATCATTCAAAATAATGGCGTTTGTAATGTCATTCGAAAACAATCTATTGACATTTGACATCTCGCATTTTGATTGACTTTTGATTAAATGGTCGTCCTCTGGAATGCTTGTTCACTAAATATGAGAAAGTCGCCATAAAAATCATATTTCCTGTTGAATTTTCTATATAAATATGTGCCATCGAAGTACATCATGAGTATAATAATTATAAAGTGTCCAATGACCAATAGAGAGCAAGTAGCTTCAAATGCCCCCAACACAAGGGGAGAAAGAAGGCGAAATGTCGAACTTTTTCTTGAAAATATCTCAATAAATAGTGGTTTGTTCACATTTCCATTATAAAATTCGGTTTATCAGACAAAAATACGTGAGTACCGAAAAAAAATTTCAAAGACCAAAAACCATCGCATGATAAATGCAGTTTTACTTTAAGGGTAAAATTACGGTTTCAAGTGTAACGATCCACTTGGGTGAAAAATCCAACAACAGAAAATTGAAAACACTCACTGGTTATTTTTTCAGGTAATAGGAATTCTCCGAGATAAATATAGGTAATTGTAACAAACGGCATGTCAATCAAAATAAAATACATTTTCCACAATTTTCTTTCGATCAATCTCACGATAAGTTTATGTTCTGCGAGCCCTGTATAAGTAGGTGTGAAGTTTACCTTCACCACAATTTTTGCCAATATATTTAATCCGAATGGGTTGCTGTAGGTGGATATTTGTGTTTTATCCTGGTTTTTGCTTTAAAACTTCGTTTTTCCATAATGAAATCGAATGGGGTGCAAAGAAGGGCTCAGTTGACGACTGGCATCCTTTTTCAACCGGAAGCCCTTCAAAAAACAGCAAAATCGGCTCAATGATGATCTAAAACTAAAATCGAAATACACGGTCGCTGTATAGCGCTATAAGCGCTTGTCGTTTCAAGCCGCTGATTAGGCCTGACTAAGTGACGTCACCCACGGAGCATGCAGGCCTTGTTGTATCGGTGGTAACGGCTGAATGCTAATTATATTTGGTCCAATTTGATCAGATATTGGGAAAACAAATAAAATTGGTGGAATATTGGCTCAAACTATTCTAAATTCAGATTGTCAACTGAAAATTTAAGAAACAATTTGTTGAATGATAGTAATATGTGGAAAAAAGTCGTTGAATATTGTTCTGTACATTTTTCGAACAATTATTAGAATTCACATAAGATGAATAACGCGGAACAACGCGTGACGACATAATATACCGCGATCAATCCAATGCAACTTATATGCATGTGTGTATAGTGTGTACAATTCATTCTGGATCTCTCAGCTATCAGATCTTGCCTCTTGATTTGCAAGTAGCATTCAAAGTGTTAAAACTTAACGGCAAGTCATGGCATATTGTATGTTTGTGGTATTCAATAAATTCGAAATATGTATAATCAATTTACAATAGAGTAACTCAAAAAAGGAATCGACTGCTCTAGATCGATGGTATAGTGCAGGCACTATTTTCCGGTGATAAAAAGGTACATGATCATTACTATTTCAATCATATAATACATAGGTTACACTTGCATTGTGCTGGTACAGTTGTATTCCTATGGATTCATGTGATCAAGATTATTATAATCCATTTTACAAAGATCACTGTACTTGTTGAACGATGAATTGAGGATATAGGTTCCTTAATTCCATAAAGTCATCAATGAAATGATTGGACCATCAGCCTATCAGTGGCATTTTATTGACATCATTTTTTCGAAATTGGACAATTATTGATGTGATCTCCATGCATTTTGTTCATTTTATCTTTTTGCGCATGAGTCGACATTTGGTATTGTAAGATGTGAAGTGAACAAGTGAATAGATAGAAAGTTCATCAAATCTTAATAACAAATTCAGTTGTATAAAACTGATATTCTACTTAGAGAACATCCATCGTGATAATATCATGTTACTACCTCGATTACTACATAAAACATGAAGTATTACTCCTAAAAGCAATCTATTTCTACCTCAGACTTGAGTCTTTCATGTTCCTACCTAGCTATTATTGCAACAAGATAGGTAATATGCAGTTGTCTTTCATAGGTAACTTGGAATTGACAAATAGTTCATTCCAGATACCAAAGAGGAGAAGCTCTCGACTTCTCGAGTTTCATGCCATTTTCCAGATATTCCAGAAATTACAA